TAACGAACGAGCGAGAGAGAGGACGTATTAGAAGCCTCGGAAGGCGTTTTAGGGTCTTGGTCGTCAATAAATGACCAAATAACTATTATTTTTCTGTCGAATGGGCCCGCAATTGTAAGAAAATTATTAGCGATGCGTGAACAGTATGCTGTGCAAACAAGTTTCAATGCACATGGTCAGGAAGGCTGTTAGGAGGAGCCTAACGAACAGTTAGCATGCAGGTAGCGAGCCGCACTCACAGCAGGCTATCGATCGGCCTCCACGCGTCAAACGCATACTGACAGCCAATCAATCAATAATTTAACATTTAAGCTGCAGCCAGCCGTTCAGTCACAAGCCAATCGTGTCGCTACCCACGCCAGGACAGAAGCTGATTGGCTCGATGGACATAGTTTTACACGCGTTTGTTGCCCTAAATATGCTGTACCAAATACGGTGTAGGACTTCTGCTTTTGCGCTCTTCTTATAGTCTTCATCCTTGGGAGCTAACACAAGACGTAATTATGGGGTGACATCTCGGCTTTGACTACCGTTATAACAAAGACAACCATGGCGGCTGCTTAGACAGCTTTCCTAACTAATCCGGGTGACGGGGGTCAAAACAGTTCAAGAAGTTTAAAAAGCATGCAAAAGTATGCGCGATTCAGAGACGCGGACAGAGGGATGGCCTGGGGGGAGGGGAGAGAGTAGCTCACCTGAGCCAACCATCCAAGCTCCTTTTCAAAGTCCTCGTCAACCAGGCCATCGGGTGTGATGCGACCAGTGGCGAGGTAGTCAGCACCATAGTCGTCGGCTGGAAGAACAATAGGAACACATTTAGGGGGACAGCGGTAGACGGCAAAAAGGGCAAACACACGGATGCACCGAAAACCAAGACTTTGTGAATTACGCTAGATGACTCAAGACATCAAATGTGAATATGGGATTTTAAGGGTGGGGGAGGGGGGGGCAGACTAACACACATTTGAGGCTGTTATATGTGATGAATTTTTAGTAATGCAAAAAGCTATTTACTGAAAAATAATTAAGTTCAAATTAGTGTATTGTAAGGACAAAAATGGACAGAATTTGGCAAAATCCAACGTTTGTTGATCTTCAAGCAATATCCTACGCCCGTAAAGGCTGCGGATCAAAACCTCTTGCTTGTACGTGCTGAACTACAAACTGTTAATACAAGCGAACATGCGAGTCGCAGGAATTAATTGAGAAGAAGAAGACGACTCGATCGCTGGGGCAATAGGTTTAGTCACCTGACACGAATTGCCGAACACGCGGCAGCAGTGCGGCGAAATGATGCG